AGCACTAGTTAATTTTTAATACAAATAAAACATAACAATAAATTTACCATTTCCAGAATTTGTGGTTGGTTATGAGCAATGATATCTCGCATGAACCTTAGGACATAGTAACCACAATATACACCATTAGTCTGACGAGGACATTGCATAAAAATAAGTAAAATAAATAGAGCGGAAAGACATAACAATGACTCCAACTTACTTATAAAAGACAAGCTATAACAAATTTGGGTTATATTAATTAGTATCCTACGGAGTAAGGCACTTAGGCACTAATGACTATCTTTTCTAAAAAAAAAATTAGATTCATCATATGTTTCCTTTTTTTTTTTTTAAATTTTTTGTTATAGATATCACATAATCTTAAACAAACACAAAAAAAAAATACACTCTGAAATCTAGATACTACAAGTTTATCGACATGAAAGTGATATGCAAATAAGTACCTGAATTTTGGACCTAGTTGTACTTTTCTTCACCTTCTTACTTCCTACAACTTGATTTTGATATATAAGTAATGCCCTATCAAATGGGAAAATATATTTCAAACTTTTAAAGGAAAAGTAAAATATAAATATTGTCAAATGTATGGATAAAAAAATTCATCATAGTATTTTAATAATCAAGCTAACGTCTCCACAACGCTACGTAAATCATCTCTAATAGGATAATTTTCCTTTCGTAAGGGGTCCAAATAATAGACAACATTAGCTTCTGGATCAATCACACATAATATCCAATGGCGCCTACACATTGAGTTCATGATTGTAAGTCATATATAGTAACCAATATATGCATTAATTTAAAAATGGACATGAAATATATATATACGATTACACTAACCCAGTATTTTTTGGTGCCAAATAAACTTTTTCTTTCCTTGTAATCCCCTGAAGTGCATTAACAATATAACGTGGTCGTTCTACACGGTTCTCTTGAATCTTTTCTTCATGTCTGCTTTGCACCACTAAAGATATTGAGGATGGACATAAAACCCAAATTTGCTCTTCCCCGTTGCTTGACAATTGCGATACATTAACCTGATACAAAAAAAGGATTTAGTTTAAATACCTAAACACATTATTAACATAATATTATTAATAAATTAAACATATATAAAGCTTTTATTTCAATTTATTTAAAAAAAAAACAATTTAAGTCCGGTGATCATTATCATCTCATATCACCTTATTTTTTCTTCATTTAATGATTTATAAATTACTATTTTGTAACAGTCTAACAAAATAAAAAAAAAGGCAATTTTTTTTTAAAAAAATATCATAGTTGGTGGAGGCAATGATATAAAAAATAAAAGAAAGAAAGATCACGGTAATATTTTCCAATAGCAAGGAAAATAGTAGATTGACTTGCATGATATATGCAGACATGTGGCAGGCACCTATTTCTTCTTGGGCAATTAATTGAAAAATCTCCTCCTTGCCCATATAAATTTGTTAAGTTTGATTCACTATTGCTTCTTCCATAGGAATCATTATCTGCTCGTCTTTTTTCATTCTTTTAGCATACATAAATGTCAATCTTAATTCATGGGGTAGGGTATCAACATTAATAACTACTTCCATGTCAACTGTTGTAAGCTTAGTCTTTGATGTTGTCCGCTCTTCAAGTTTTTTTGCTTGCCAAGATTGAGCAACTTCTTTTTCTTTGACTTTTGGTGTTACTAGTCGTTGGAGCACGCGCTACGCGAGTGCCCCCCTGACGGTAAGATATGTAAGCTTCGTGGATGCGATCGTGTTTCGTAGTTTGAGGTGTTATTAACATGCTGATTAGGGGAGCATAATTTAATGAATTGTAAAAAGAGCTTGTTGTATCATTAATGTTATTATTGTGTGTGATTATCTTGAATATCCGATATCCAATTTTTTCAGATCAAAAATCCAAATTTTTTGTATTAGATACGGATTGGATCAACAAATATTCGAATTTTCAAATAGTTTTGCTTAGCACAAATTTAAGGATTAATCGGTGCAATATATGTAATGTTAATTGTGTGTTTTTATCTCTAAGATTATATAAACGCACATAAGTTTGGTTTATGCTAATTAGTTACATTTGAGCGATCGAGCATCTTCAGTAAATAATAATCCCTAATTCTTGATATATGTTTATTATGATTTAATTAATAAGTTTTTCACAATTATAAGTTTATTCGCATAATTAATATTTGTCTTTAAAGTTGTTTTCTAACTATCATAAATATGTTGTTCTGGTGTTGTTTAAGGAAAGAGCTCTTAGGGCTTTGAACAATAGAGTAAGTTGAATTCTAATATAGTAGGTTGATTAAATATGTATTTTTAAGAGTGTTATTGTGTATATGTAAACATGGAATGCACGATAATTCATTTTCTTACTACTTAGTGACTTTTAATTTTACTAATTAATATTAATCTCTCTCTTTCTTTTTGATTTATCTCCTTCCTAACTTTGTCTATATGTTCCCACTTTTTTTTAATGGCTTTGAAAAATTTTGGTTCACTTGCTCCCATTTTACTCGTTTCATTCTTCCTTTATTGGCCCAAACTCTTTCTCTCCCTCTCTTTCTTTCCTTCCTAATTCTTCTTGTCCTTATTCCATTCTAAAAATGAGCTTTTAAAACTATAGGTTGCACTTTCTCCCTCTCTTTCTCTCTCTCTCCCCTGAGCCATCTATCTGTCTATCTCTCCCAGCTTCTCTTGATCTTCCTTTTTCTTCTAGTCTCTTTCTTTCTCTCTTTATCACTCTATATCTCTTTCCTAGCCCCCTCTCTCTATTTAATTCACGAATTTTTTTCGATCTTCGACCTCTTCAATTATATTTCTCTTGCCCTCGTTCTCTCTCTATCTCACTATATTTTTCCTCTTTCTTTTTCTATTTCTCTCTTCTCGATCTTCCAGATCCTCTTTCCTATCTATTGGCTCCTTTCTCCCAACACTTCTTTAACAATCTCCGACATGTCCTTTACTCTTAGCTCATGGCTTGTCTTTTATTTTTCTGTTTTAGCTTGCCTTCTCTCTCTTTTATAACACCTTTCTCTCTCTTTCATATATATCACCTTTCTCTCTCAACCTCCCTTTATTTTTCTTTTCTAGCACCTTCATCTCTTAACCCTATTTATTTCTTTCTTTCTTTCTCTCTTTCTCTCTCTCTCTCTCCTAGCACCTTCGTCTCCTAATCCTCTCTTTCTCTCGGCATTGCCTTCTCTGTCTATTTGTTTGTCTCTTTTTCTCTCTTTACCCTTCTCTCTCTCCCTCTATTTCTCTCTCGATGTATCTTTTCTCGCGCCCCTCTCTTCCTATCCCTCCTCGTTTTTTCTCTCTCTCCCTCTCCTATTTCTTACTCCCTATCTTTTTTTCTCTCATCTCTCGTGTCTGTCCAACTCCTCTCCCCTTTCCTACCTCCTATCCTCTATCTTTCTAAAGCTATCTATAACTGTGGTTGTACAAATATAAACAAAACATTTACTCATGAATCTAACACGGTTATATCATAATGTTGATAAATATATTCTAAAGGTGACTTTAATCAATTTGATGCCTCAATTGTCACAAAAGCACATTGTTTAATTAATAACATTTATTGATTACTGAAAAAAGATTGTCTAAATCTAGTTGTCGAAATCTACTCCTCCTATATTGTTATCTCTTTTTCTCCTTCCCGGCCTTTAGCTTTCTCATCTTTAACTCGTCTTTTATTATTTCAACCATTTTAGAAAGTTTCTAAAAAGTATTGTCAACTCCTTACTCAATTACACTCTAAAAAGTATTATACGTCTTTCGTTCCTTTAATTCTCAAAACTCTCTATCTTCCTATTCTTTTTGCTCCTTTGTACTGACTTCATAACTTATAGGTATCTCTCTCTCTCTCTCTCTCTCTCTCTCTCTCTCTCTCTCTCTCTCTCTCTCTCTCTCTCTCTCTCTCTCTCTCTCTCTCTCTCTCTCTCAATAGGTTTTCTTGAGTGTTTCTCACTTTCACCCTCTTATCTACAGTCCTACATTCTCAATGGTTACTTCTTACCCAATTATACTCTAAAAAGTATTATTTGTCTTTTGTTCCTTTAATTCCCAAAACTCTCTATCTTCCTATTCTTTTTGCTCCTTTGTACAGACTTCATAACTTATAGGTGTATCTCTCTCTTTCTCTCTCTGTCTCTCAATAGGTTTTCTTAAGTGTTTCTCACCTTCACCCTCTTATCTTCATTCTTACATTCTCAATGGTTACTTCTTACTCAATTACACTCTAAAAAGTATTATTTGTCTTTCGTTCCTTTAATTCCCAAAATTCCGTATCTTCCTATACTTTTTGCTCCTTTGTAATGACTTCATAACTTATAGGTATCTCTCTCTCAATAGGTTTTCTTAAGTGTTTCTCGCTTTCACCCTCTAATCTACAGTCCTACATTCTCAATGGGTTTTTAAATGTCCTTGACTCTTACCCTAAATTTTGATTGAGAAAAAGAGAGTAACAATTTTACAACTACATGTCTTCTTTAACTTTCTTTACTTTCACTATGGCGGTTTTGGTAAGTGGGAATTGAGGGTGGGATTGGGAGTTTTAATCTCAATATAAAAAATAAGCCTTGTTTGATTGGTGGGAATCGGAATAAAAAGGGGTTTGTGAATGGGTTATTTACAGGTGAATTCCCACCCTTTTATTACCTAGTGAGGGTAGGCAATAAATGAATGGGAATGGGAATGGGAATAAGAAGAAAAATGAGATTTTTGCCATTAATGAAAAGAATTAAATAACAATCTTAATAAGGGTATTTTGTAAAATTGTTATTTATGTCCTATATATTCCCATCTACTATCCAAACAAGGTATTAGCATATTTTTATGTATTCCCATCAATTAATTCCCAAATCCCATTCCCACCTTTCAATCCCCAAACTCTCATTCCCACATTCCAAACGCCCCGTATATGTTTTCATCAAATCCTCGATCAGTATATGATTGCCCAAGGAAAAGTGAACAATTACCGAAATAACTTGTAAGAACTCTACATCAATAAGAAACTGAGAGCAGTACAATGACTTTTGATCATCTCATTTTTCAACATAATATTCTCGTATTATACACGTTGAGATTCATCCAACATTCCAACAAAACAACGAACGAATAAAGAAATTGAAGTTATATGGTCAGTAAACCTATACTGTACAAGTATACATGATTTCTATGAAAATTGCTTATAGAAACATGCATTTTGGTCAAACCATTTTGCCCTCATAAGAATGGTTTCTAATTTTCTATTAACATTTTTATACAGTTTGTCTACTTGTAGAAACATGCATTTTGGTCAAACCAAAAGTTGAAAGCACTCCTTATAGACTTCAATATACAGCTTCCAGTATGAGATGAAGAATCACCATCCTTGACATTGTTATGGCCCTGCAAGGGTGAGTTCGTATGACTGTGAGATTCCATCCCGAATTGAAGACTACATCAAATGACTGCAGTTATAAAGGATATACTTACCAATATAATAAATAATAGACAAGCGCAATAGTATAACCCATAAACCTCAACTCCTCAATTAAGACATTTTTTCTTGATTGTGTAGACTGGTAAATGAAAAAGATAACCCATGGTAGTTGGTGATAAGATATGACATAAATAAATAAATAAACCACACCACCACCGGTAATTGGAAAAGAAGGTTTTATGTTTATTGAAAATAAAAATATAGAGTATTTTCACAAAATCTACATGGTTCCTAGGTTCAAGGAATTCAAAAACATAAAACAGGATAGCAGTGTCATAAATTAAACCATTATAGCTTTTTCTGCTGAAACAACTTGCTTGCAAATCCAAATATCCTGATTATCTCTCTTTCTTTGCTTTTCATTAAGGCAAACCAGTCACCAAAGCCGTTTTTGAATGATGAAATACAAATGCATATGAAACTTATTCACCAAAGCTGTTGTAAAATAACGAAATAAAGATAGACATGAAATCAACAAGAGGATATTCAGAGCCGTCAACAGGTAGAGAAAACGATATAAAATAAGAGAAGAGAGCAATCAAAAGCTTAATAGAATATACTTCTCATAAAGTCATCAGCTAAGTAAGAGAAGTTTATTTCAAAGTCAATTCTCAACTACATTACAATAGTAGCTGCAGGTCACCAACCTTTTTTGAGTGGGTTTCATCTTGATTGAATTCAAAAGGAGAGGAGCAGATCAGATGTGTTGTATAAGATATTAGTTCTAGCAGACACTAAGGATTAAGCAATAACATCAGGATTAAGCAATAACTATATAAGATTGCAACATTAATCAATTTTGGACAAACATATCATTACTAAATTTTATAAATCAGCTTAATAAATCTTGGAAACAAGCACAGTTCAAACATATTAGCAGCACAGATTGCATAACTTCATATCTTCATAAGTAAAAAATTACAAGATTGCACATGAATAAGTAAAAAATTAAAGTGACTTTCATAACTTCTATTGAAAGCATGTTGAGCAGAAGAGTCTCACGACTCTCACCTATATTAGCAGCACAGATTACAGAACCAGGGCCAGGTGATATAACGATATTATCAAAGGCTCTTTCCTCGTATAAGCTGTAGTACGCTACTTCTCATGTTACCGTTCATAACAACAGTGATTCATTTTCATTTCCATAAAGAATATAGATACAATCCGCAGAAACAAACCTCCGCATTTGCTCCAGCAGCTCTAACACTCTGACAGTGAGAAGAAGGCAGCAACAAACAATAAACCAAAACAGAAAAAAAATCAGTCAAATAAGCCGATATATTCTTCAGTAATTGATTTCAACAAATAGACTCTCATCACAAAATTTGAACCAATCCAAAATTACAAGAGCAACCAATTAATAGTAATCTGAAATTGAACAATACAAAAACAAATTCCACAAATTGATTATTATTGATTGTGATAAACAAACACACAAAATCCACCTCCAAAATCACTCATAATTTCATAACTCAACATTAAAAAACAAAACAACTCAAAAAAGTACGCTCCCTTCATCATCAAGAAGACTCTAGATTCACTAACAGATGCAGTAGGAGTGAGATGAAAGAGTACGAGGTTGGTGTTGATAAAAGAGATTTTCTTATGGTATTGATTGAAATATTCACTAACCTGCGAATATCTTAAGCAACAACTTCAAGCTCAGGGTGTTGATGAAAGAGTATGAGGTTGGTGAGCAAGGGACATCACCGGCAATTCCGAGTAACTGGAATTGGTATGGTTGCTGTTCCACTGTCGTGTACACAGAGTTCCAGAATTTTTTATTTTTTGCAATTGCTTGAAATTGGAGGGCGGTATAAAGTCGAGTAAAAAAATAAAAATACACCCTAATTTGTTCAAAATTCCAAAGAAACTTGATAATTATTTTAAAATCCAAGTATAATAACAACCTAATTCGATTAACAATGAAATGCTAGATCGAGAAATGATTTTTGATGATTAAAAAACAAAAATCTAAATTACAGAATCTGAGCAAAAGCCCTTGAAAAAAATTACAGCCTAATTTTCTAGAAATGAGCAATTTTTACATATTTCTATTCAACCACATCAAATTGAAAGAGAGAAAATACCTTACAAATTTCTGAGTTTCATCAAATTGATGGCTATTATTTCCGGCGCCGTTCATCACAGTTTCTCTCCTCTTTTTCCCTTTCTTAGGTTTCATCACCACTCAGTCATTTAAAAATAGTTCGAGTTATTAATCGAATTTGAGAAAATTAATTAAGAAGCTTAATGAAGAAACGTAGCAAAAAAAAGGATTACTGTTAAAAGATTGTCAAAATTGATATTAGATGATTATAAAAAGGATAGAGATCTTACCTCAAGAAGATGCTTTAATGGAGGAAATTGAAACACAATCTCAGACTGAACGGGAACCTCGGAGACGGCGGGCCGAAACTGGAGGAATCGATTTCACAAGAGAGGAGTGGTAATTGATCAGCTAATTCAAAGAAAAAAACTAAACTCAAAAACTGCTCCAATGGTAAGTTTAGAGAGTGAGTGTGAGAGAGATTCGAAATACCACCTCCACCACGAATCCTGGTAACAAAGAAGAAGTCATTAGATCATACCACATTAATTCAGCTTGTCATGAATCAATTTTCACATAATTCCATTAGCTTAATTTGCATAACTTAATTCCCATAGCTCAATTCCCAAATCACGACATCCTATTAAACCGAATTCCACCAGAAATGATTCTGGATATTTAAAAAAAAAAAATTGAATTACAAATGGAGTTTTTGTTATTTTAGTTGGTAGTTTAATATTAAGAAAGGAGCAGAATTATACCTGAAGATCGGAGAAAACTACATCAAATATCATCTTCCACAAGCTCCCATAAACATCGTCGAAGGGATGATAGGTGGTTTTGAGCTCATCGCCATTGTTGTTGAAGGAAGACATATTTTTTCTCTCTAGTTTCTCTCTCCTTGTTTCCATAAATACTCTGAGCTTTTTTTTGAGATGAGAAGAAAGAGAGCTAAGGGAGTAGGCAAGGGAAGTCGGTGGAAAAGCGCTCAAGCTGTCAAGCATGAAGCATCAACCAATTAGAATACAGGGCAATTTCGGAATTCCATTAATTTCGGGGGTGTTTGTGTAATAACTCCAAAAGTTACTGTTACTAACTTCCCATTTTTATTAAGGGTTATAGATTGGAATCTATATCATTCTCCCCAATAATTAATTATGTTAACAAAAACACTCATCTTAGACAATGTCATGAATATTGTACATTATCCAAGCTGAAGGCAAATGACTAAGCAAAGTATGTGTGTTTATATAGTAATAGAATAACACCAAAGATAACTAAACTTTGTATTGGTTTGCCCAGGGAGTGATCCGTCTTTAATGCATTTGATGTAGTATGCAAGCTTGGAAAGGTATTAACTTGGTTCTGTAAGAATATTTACATATAATTTCAGTAATAGGTTGATAGTTTAACCATTCCTATGCTCATCTGATAATATATTTTTAGAAAATTAAGAATGTGTAAAATAAAATAATGTGAATCAGTGTACATCGTTTTTTGAACCCTTGGTGCAACTAGTTTGTTTTGCTTTTGATGTAGGCTGTGTTGGGGTCTGCATTTTACAAGTTTGTATCAAAATAAATTAGATAGTTTTTATAGTTTATATTCTGCAATGTTGGTACATAGATGGGTTAAATAATTGACAAACCTTTCCAGCAATAGTTACTAAATGGCAAGGCCAAGCAACATGTGTGCCTAGAGCTTCATTTAGAGTATAAGCTTCATCTTTAAGAGGTACTGGTATCAGAGCTTGTTTCTCATAAATGTACTTAATCGACACTCTAACTTGGTTGGACAGTAGTGGTACACCATGTACAACACGTGCAACATTTGGGATGTTATACACCTTTCCTATAGCCACAACGCGATAACTTGGCTCTGAGAGTACTAGTTCACATGCAGTCACGCCCTATATCATCAGAGATTTCAATTTCAATTTAATCAGACACATGACAAATAATCTTTATAATCTATTAAAGGAAAAGGGGGATTCAGTACACAAATTTCAGCATACTATATTATCCTGTATGTTTATCAGTATATAGATGAGTTCAGAATATACCTCTGGAAATTCGATAGGACTACTGCAACTTGGAGTGAGCTCCTCCTCATTTTCTTCGGCAATGATAGTATCACAAATAGTTGTCTTCTTGGACAGAGTTCCTAAATTTACTAACGATCTCAACTCCCTTAACTCGTTTGACATAGCCATCACCATTGATTTTAATTCCTTTGCCTCATCTTGTGACTCTTTAGAATTTTTTAAACTTCCAAAATAATCTGTGATATTGACACCAGAACCAACACCCCTTACACGACCTCCATGCTCTACCTTATTTCCTAAAGCCTTGAAGAGCACATCCTAGGGCCCGGAATCTGGAAACTCGCCATTAATAGCAAGCTTTTCTAGCATATCCTAAATAACAATCGATTAAAAATAACATTAATAGAAAAATAAAAAACATGTCAAATTTCTTGAGTATAAAACACATCCTGTGTTTCAAGAGTTCAGCATAGTTTCTTAGGCTAGTTGTAGGAGGAACAAAATTTGGGTTTAAATAGTAAATAATTAAAAGAGGTGTGAAAACACTCACTTTTATCCGCAACTTCTTGAGCTTTCTTTCCAGGTTTTTTTGTCACTTCGTATAGCCTTCCACATAGATGCTCGTGGTATAGAAGTCATTAAATTATCAATAGAAGCCAACTCAGCTAACTGCATGAAAAAAGTCACGATCTCCATTTCACGGTATTACATTAGAGAAAAACTAGAGTGCATGAAATGTATTATACAATATAGCTTGAAAATCTCCATGACTAACCATCCTACACTAAATTACTCACTCTAGCAAAGGAAAAAATGCTAGCTTTAAAGAGAAAGCATGATTTATAACTAAAATCTCAACACTGAAAAGACAAAGGTGAAACTAATGCAGAGGAAATTAATGATCTTCTAGTGGAAATAGAGATTTATAAAACACTTTGGGTTTACAACTTACCATATCCTGCTCTAAGCGAGCACATCCTCTACGAGAACGCTTTTGAGGACATTTGTTTTTCTTTGCTCTGTGTCGATTATCCTCGCTAGTTTTCTGTCCAATATGATTCTGATAAGCAAGTGCATTCTATAGGATATATGCTAAAAATAATAATTATAATCTAGGTTGAGCAATTTACCTTAAATTCATCAGACAATCGACTGCTCACAAAGGACTCCCAATCAGATTTCTGAATAAATGGATATAACTTTGGTTTCTCATCACGTATATTCCCATGGTCATCGTAGAGCCAATTTCTTGTTAAAAAGCACCTAAAATACCTCATCTTGTCTGTTGCTTTAAAATGATCCTTTTTTTCTTCTTTTGTTCAGGAATGTTAAATGTTTTCTATCATAAAAGAAAAAAAAAAAACAAAAATCACTAAATCAAACTAATTTAAATAAAAAGTAAAGAACTGATTAATACTACAAAATCATGATATAAGAGAACATTATTACCGAGACATCTTCCCAAATTGCATTTTTCAAAGCATAAGGAACTCGATCCCAATCTTCATAATTGATAGGAATTATGCTTTGTGCTGTGGCTCCCAAATAACTTGACATTATCACACTATTATTTCCAATAGGTTGGCCTTTTGAGTTCCACTGTACTGGAAATACCATTTTTCTATTCCTTGATCGAACAACCTTCTTCATGCATGTTGCACCTCGCTTAGTTGTTGTTGGTCTATTTCTTTTAAAAGAAGCATTTGTACCATCAGCATCCTTCCTATAAAATTTAAGTAGAAAAATAACAATGAGAGGAGACTTGTAGACACCCATTTGTTTCTCCCCAAAACCAAACCCAGTGATGAGTACCTTTCACGCCGAATCATAATCGAATGAAACGAAAGTGTGGAAAGGTCTAGTGTTGCGGATAGTTTTTATTTTTTTCTCTTCTCTTTGTTTTTGAAAACTTATTTTAAGAAAACAGCCAATCCAGTTTGGTTGGTCCATGATATAGGTCCAATAATAGTGTAGTTGGATGGGGCTTGCAAAAAACTTTCCAACGATATATTATAAGCCCAATTCCGATGAGTATTGAGGAAGTTATGGAAATTTACCAAACTGGGCCCGGTTTGAGCTTTATGTATGGCCCAATGATCTAGGGGAGAGCCTAATAAGATTTATCATTCCTAATGCAATTAGGAATGGTTTTAGTCTTCTAGAATCTTCTAGAAAGTTCTTTTCATTCCTAATTCAATTAGCATTGGTAAATTGACTTCAGAGTTTTAATCAAACTCAAATAGCAGTTTCGAGGAAATTATATTATTTTATCCTCCAGTACGGTAAACTTATCGGATTTTCAAAAACGCGTTGGAATCAGGCTTGGCGCCTAACCCCCGGCCTTGGCACCTGTAACCAGGCCTGGCGCCTGGCGCTAGCCATTGACGCCTGGCGCTATGGCTGGTGCCTGGCGCCAGCTAGCCAGAGTTGGCGCCAGCCCTGTTTTCTGAGCGTCAGACTCTGTTTTGTTAAATTGTCTTTTTTGGCTGATTTTCTCTATAAATATCGTATTAAAAACTCCGTTTCCATTCATCATCTACATCTATCATTCACCAATTCTCACCATTAATCATCTACATCCGTCATTCATCAACAATCATTATTCTTTAGCATTCTCTAAATCATTCATCTCTCTTCAACATTCTTTCTTTCTTCTTTTTCTTTTCATACAAAATTCCGCATTCGCAAGACTTAGAAACACCTAGCCATATTCGAAGTCGCCTTCGCCCTAGACGTGAAAGGTTTAATTTCTGAGGGTTTGGTCCCAAATCTCTCTTTCAATTATTTAATTTAAATAGTTTTAATTATTATTTTCCTTGAAGTTACTAACGTGTGTATTTTGTTATTAGAAAGAGGTACGAGGCATCAAAGTAAGTACTTTATTGATTTGATTGATGTTATGATGTAGAAATCATGTTTATATTGTTATTATGATATTCCTAGTATCATGTCTAGGGTAATTTTAATATTTAATATGATTGCTACGATGCTTCCTATGTTCTTCCTAATATTTATGATTATTAGTATCATGTTAGGGTAAAAGATTTGATTTTTATTGCTTAGTGGCATGCTAGGATTTGTTATTAATCTTGTTAGTATCATGCCTAGGATCTTGCTATTATTATGCTTTAATATTAACATGAACATGATTATGATTATAATTGTTATAATTTATGATGATTATGAATATTATTGTTATTATTCCGATGATGATTATTTTTATTGTTATTATTATTGTTCATGATTATTATTGTGATATTTATTTATCATGTTGCTTGATATTTTATTGCTTGATCACACCTTTTATTGCAGGTTTAAAGGGAATCTATACTTGTAATCACGCTTAATAAGATAATTAATAATCTTGTTTAGGGTTAGTTATGATTATAATTTCAAGTGATCGCCAATAATAGTTTATTTGTGCATTAATATTAAACCAACATAAATAAACAGGTTTAGAGTTAATCCTATTGATTGCATGTTAGTCAAAAAGCGCACATGAATACGATCAGAATAAAGTAGAGGCCTATTATTAGGGCAGGTTCAATCTCTTTTAGGTTAGATTTATACCTTCATCCCCGAACCCTTATTTCGTTCTAGACCTTGTGGAGTTGACGATCTCTTGGATCGTTAAGGGGTGTAACCTTCACCCTGTGAACGGTTTACAAGTTCCTAAAAAACTTGTTGGCGACTCTTTTGCTCTATCTTCTTCCCTTTTGGACGCCACCGTACTTTAGTGTATGATCACAGTGGGGTTCAAGCTAGTGGGATTTTGGAAGGCTGAAATTATTCCCTACAGTTTTTTAGCGACTCCACTGGGGAGGATTTCTATTTTAATTCCTGAATTTGTTTCGGCAATGATTTAGAATGAGTGTATGAGACTCGAAAAGTTCTAAGTATTTCATGTGCGT